CTTCTGGCACAAAAATAAAATAGTTATTTTTATCTGTTCTTCATATTCTCTTGTTAATGGTATTATACACGTAGCTTTTGGTTTGAGGAACCTCTCTGTTATCTTTTTGTTGGGATTGAAAGATAATAGAGTAAGTGAAGGAAAAGGGGAACCAGATTTATTTATTCTGTGTCCATTGAAATGGCACTTTAGTTTTAAACTTTACAACATGTTTAAACTTTACAGCAAGCTGTGAAATAGAGGTCATTACTTCCCATTTCACAGATAAGGAAACTGAACCAGGGAGAAGTTAGCTTTTCCCTGGTCACACAGCTAGAACTGGTCTTAGAGCCCCAGGCTTTCTGATGCTCTCTTTATTAAACTCATGTTTATACACAGTGGGCAAGAACAATTTGTTTAGTATTATATTTGGCTGTCAGTTTCTGATCATGTCTAATTGGGCCAAATATTTTCCACCTGGAAGTTTATTAATGATAACCATTGCTGTCCTTGGTTTAACAAGCTTCTAACTGGTGTTTCCGTTTCTAGCCTTACCCCCACAAATTCATTCTCCTTCTTTTAAATCTTACCATTGCTAGTTTATTGCTGTTAATAGGAATTTCCACTGCTAAGAGCAAGGCAGTATAGTGCTGTGGAGAGAACACAGGTTCTGTAGTCATTTGAATTGCAGATTTAATTACTTATGGTTTGATGACAGACTAGTCATTTAGCAGAGCCTCAGTTACTTAAATGGGGATGATAATGTGTATTTTATAGGTTTGGTGTGAGAAACAGATATTTAATGGGTGTAAAAGCACTTGGTTTAGCTCCTCATGTATAAGTGCTTAATGAAAGGTAGCTATGAATATTGTTCAAGATGAGCATTTTCCAGTCATTGTTTGCCTTCTTTTGTTTGTTGAGTTTATTTAAATAAGCACTGCCATACTGCCATAGGTATCTTTTTTTTGGGGGGGGGGGCTTGTGACTGATGTTTCCCGCTTCTTTTTTTGTTTGGTTGTTTTTGTTTGTTTGTTTGTTTGTTTTAAAAGATTACCGGTAAGGGGATCTTAACTCTTGACTTGGTGTTGTCAGCACCACGCTC